CCCAAAATATTTGAACTTAAGAGCTCTGTCAGTTGACGCAGCTAAACTTTGTAATGGAGGTATCTCTCTCCCCCACTGTCCTTTTCCGTTAAGATTTAAGTTTTATGAGCGAAACTGGATACTTTTGTTTTTAATTTGGACTTTGGGGGTTCAAATGCAGATTATAACGTGGCAGGGCCACTCGTCGAGTATGAACGAAGAATAGCTGCTGGTGAGCTTGTGGATGGTGATAGCTGTCAGGTAAAGGCCAGCAGTTCCCCCTGCATTTTCATCGTTTATATTTAGGGATGAAAGTGGAACAGTCCATGATAAGTCGCTTTTGGAAGGTTATTTTCAAATTTCTACCTTCTCCCTCTGCCTGCTTTTTTAATAGAATCAAAATGGCTGATCAACCAAAACGGGAAAAAAATAAAAATGATATAATTTTAACATTACATCTTTGTAAAGCTACTGCTGGCTTAATATTAATGTTATTTGATTTTGATTTGAAAATATGTTTCTGTTGATAGATTACATGTCTATTCATTTGTTTTGAACCTGTTGAAATTAATTCTCATATTCTCCTGCCAGGTGGGCACCCTGAGGGAACTTCAGAGACTCTATGATGAACTTGTTAATTCAGCTGAAGCGTGCCGGTTGGATAGATATGCGGTATCAGAAAAATCAGGAAGGTTGTTCTTTCATCATTTAGTTATAGAGCTTGTAGTCGGATTATTCGAGCTGATTTAATCTTTTAGTTTCTTATTTGGCACTAGATTGTTCTTATTAATCTTCTTTTTCTGGTCTATAACAGGAGTAGGTGGTTGTGGTCTCGCTTCATTCCTCAGTCATCCTACTCTCCAGTTAAAGGTCTATATCTCTATGGAGGAGTAGGCACTGGAAAAACTATGTTAATGGACTTGTTTTTTGATCAGTTGTAAGTTCGTTGAATTCAAGAATCAACTCTTGTGTTTCTTCAGCCTTTTATTTGCTTTCCTGCCTTTATGTTGACAAATGGTTCCACGAATTCAAATGATAGCCAAGTATTATGAGTTCTTTTTGGGATTTAGTTTATTCCACATATGCTATCCATTGTCTGTTTTCTCTTATTGCGTTCTTATCTTAGACTTTTCTCCTTATAGACCCAGCAATTGGAGGAAAAAGAGGATACATTTTCATGACTTCATGTTGAACGTTCATAGTCGTTTGCAGGTGGGACTTACTATTTTCTTCATTAATAGTGAATGTTTCTTTTAATGAAATCTTCAGTGCCAATGTGAGTGTAGTTCAATTGATATAAAATATTTAGCATCGACCAAAAGGATAGAAGTTTGAATCCCTTGCACGTATTGCTAAACTCTCCAGAATTGGCACAGAGATTATGATGTGTAGTTGAAGTGGAATGGTCTTATTTTCTCTGAAATCTCATAGTTAAGAATTCCCTGTTTTTTTTCTTTTTTTGATCCTCCAGTCGAAACATATTGCTTAGTTTGTGCATCTTATAAAAAAATGCCTTGTTTGTGTTACTTATGATGGAAAAACCATTTAAACTAGAGCTGTTGAGATGTCTGAGTTTTACAACTTGGAAACCAAATAAATTTTTGTGTAATCTACTTTTCTGCTGACTCTGTATTCTGGTATAGGGTAATCATATCAATTTTAACGTGTCATCATATATTATCTGTTGATAAACTAATAGTTTTCCTGATCGTGTGGAGTGTGAATATACTAAATAAACACCTGTCTTGAATGCATATTTTGACAGCGGCACAAGGGTGTTGCTGATCCACTTGAAGTCGTTGCAGGAGAGATTTCAGATGAGGCCATTTTATTATGCCTAGATGAATTTATGGTACTCTTTCAATTCAACTGCCTTTCTTTTGTTTATATATGATATCTTTTGACCCTGCACTTTGGTATCATTAGTAAATTTTCTTAGTCTTCTGTCTTCCATAGGTGACAGATGTGGCTGATGCATTGATATTAAATCGTCTGTTTGGACATCTTTTTAGCAATGGCGTTGTAAGTATTTACTTCTAAATTCCAACCAGCAGAAGATATCATGTTTTGTTTCAGATAACTTAGAGATTGTTTGTATCTGATTGTGGGAAGTGTAGATCCTCGTTGCAACATCAAATCGTGCTCCAGATAATCTGTATGAAGGTGGATTACAGAGAGATCTTTTCCTGCCCTTCATTTCCACATTGAAGGTATGTGGACAGTAATATTCCCGTCAGTGCCACACTTGAATTAACCCACCCATTCTAACAATTATAATCTAAATCTAGTGCCAATTTAATTGATTTTAGCTCGATCTGTCATGACTTTTCCACTCATTTAATTGGAAGGTCTCATGATGTAGGAAAGGTGTGTGACTCATGAAATTGGTTCAGCAACTGACTATCGGAAAATGACTTCGGTAATGATTCTAATTCAATACAAAAGTAGCTATTTGATTAAGAAATTCTGAATGGTAATGTACTTTATACCTACTCTTGACTCCAGGCAGAGCGAGGTTTCTACTTTGTTGGAAATGGCGCATCTACCTTTCTTAAGCAGAAGTTTCAACAATTGATCGGTAAAAGTACAGCTCGCCCCCACGAGGTGGAGGTAGTGATGGGCAGGGTTCTGCAAGTAAGCACCCAATTTCATTGTAGAATGATCTGAGTAACATATTTCCTTCAATATTGTTGTTTAGCAATTTCAAATACTTTTAGGTTCCATCAGGAGCAAATGGATGTGCGTACTTCCCTTTTGAGGAACTCTGTAACAAACCGCTAGGAGCTGCAGATTACTTCGGGTTGTTTAGTAAGTCATTCAAGATGACATTTGAGTTCAAATTGGGTAGTAATATTAGGCAGGCATCGCTGACAGAGAATGCATGTTAGGCTTTCAGGAATTATCAACTTTTACTCGCGCAGATATTTTGGATTGGAACTCCTTTAGATGGTCAAATTCCAAGTGTTGTCATTTACCTTTATTGTGCCAAATTTTTAATCGAACTTTCATGTTGGATTTATTTTTAAGAATTTGTTGTCTCCTTGTACAGAAAAATTTCACACCCTGGCATTGGAAGGTATCCCAATATTTGGACTCCACAACAGAACATCAGCATATCGCTTTGTCACTTTGGTTGATGTACGTATGACTTCATATTTGGATACACCAATAAGAACTTATTCTCATGATTGGTTGACCTCATAAAATGCATGCTCTTCATTAAAGAGGGGTTAGGATTTGACATAATAGTTTCAGAAAATAGGGCAATGGGGAAAAAGAATCGTCATGTTTAGCTTTCAGGAAAACAAACTCCACCCGCCCCCTTGAATGGAAAAGATTCAACTTGGTTTATTGAATTCATGCTCTCTTTGTGTGATGATAGGTGATGTATGAAAATAAAGCCAGATTACTGTGTACAGCCGAAGGAAGTCCTCATGAACTTTTCGAAAAGGTTGTAACCATCTCTGATGCTCAACAAATTGCGCCTAGAACCTCGGCACGGTCGCAGAAAAATGATATTTCCGATCTCTGTGTTGACAATGAATTGGGTTTCGCCAAAGACCGTACGATTAGTAGGTAACACACTTCACTAATTATATTTGGCTGATGCTTGTAAACGTAGACGTACTGTGCTTAATATTTGCATTATAATTATTTTTGAAAAACAAGCATACAACATCTCAAGTATTTGGATTTGAATCCCTTGTCTGCTATCACAGTTTGGTTTAGTATTTCTACGCTATGTTTTTTAAGCACTTAGAAAGTTATTCGGAACATGTCATTATTACATATGTTTTTTTCATGGTTGATGGGAGAACGGAACGCCTATGGAAATGGCGTGTATGTACAATTCTTTCTAGTACCCACATGTGTATTCATTTTAGCTGCTAATATTGATGTGATTTTGCAGATTAACAGAGATTAACAGCAAAGAATACCTGGAACAACATGCTCAACTTGTAGCAGAGAAGCGAAAATGGCAAGAAGATGACAACCAGGATGCTTTGCAGTCATGATTTGTGCTTCTGCATCTTCGCGAATAAGCATATATCATTTTTGTTACTGTACTTCACTACTTTAACTTGCTAAAATTATATATTTACTGATGAGAAATAATGATATACAAATTGAAACTTTTCTTTTTATACAAACTAAGAAGATTGTTACCCACATATTAGGATGCAGATTGAAGAATTGGAAATTTTATTATAAAGGGGAATTGTGTAAATATGAAGTTTGGTATATGTAGGATAATTGTCGACCAACTTGATGGAATATTGTCATACGAACATGTTTTTTTTTATCATGAGTTAGATTTGAAAATTTCTATTTTAAAATTAATATATAACGCCATAATCAGTAGCTAGCATACTAACATGTCATTATCTTATTGAAGAAGATTGAGGCATGCAATATAGTTTTCTTATGACAACAATGCAATGTATTTGTTTGTCAAGATGCTTTTTTCCGTGCGTGCTTGGTGTCAGCACAGTTCAAATATGTTAGTAAAACACACGAATGACTTAGTCTAGGGTAGAGGTAAGTCGGTTGTATCGTGACGATTGAACATGCACGCATAGATGACGTGGTTTGCGGCCGAACAAGCTTGAATTCTACACAAATGATGTTTGGTTGGTGAAAACATATTTTGCCTAAGGTCTGACGAAACCACAAAATTGAGCGAAAAATAAATATGGGGCTTGAGTTCCCCTTAAGACTTATCATGAACTAGTCAAGATCACGACGTTGTATGGTTGAAAAAGTACGAGAGTGACACTTGGTCTCTCTTCCATATATATCATCTTCAAAATTTGGCGAAAAATGAATATGGGACTTGAGTTCCCCTCGAGACTTATCGGGAGAGTGTCAAGATCATGACGCGATACTTGAATCTTATCTACTATTATAAATTTTTTTACCATAAAACACGAATAATTCAACTGAAAAAGAAAACGAACAAAAGGAAAACGTAACTTGAATGAGAACTTCTCATCTTAGATTATTGAAAACTTACAAGGAAAATGAAAAATGAAATGGGCAGTAGGGACTGAAATTGCCCCCACCCCCATTTTTTCATTTAACTATCAACTTTTTAAGATACATAAGATATGTTTCATGTAAACTTCAAGTACTAAGCGGTGCCCTCGACCAGTTTGTGCAATCTTCTGGTTCTGAGTCTCTCAGCAAAAGCTTCCCTTCCTTGGACTTCGTACCTGCGCTCACCAACCAGTAAACTAACGCAATTTGAGTTTCAACTAACAATGACATGCTGTGTTTGTTGTTCAAAAGGCTAAAGCTTTTACCTTTGTGGAAGGGATATCAATGGCCTCAAAATATTCGCAAGTTTGAGAGTTTCTTCCTCACTGTTCACTATCTGATCGAAGCAGAAATATCGACCACCCGTGGACGAATCTTCCATTGCTCGGATATGGACATCCACCAAGAATTTCACATCAACCACCGCCAGCACCCCATTTTCATACATCTGAGCAGCTCCTGTTTGCCGCAAATTTTCTTAGCCAAAGCAAAAACTCCCGTAGTTTTCTAAAGAACTTTCTCCTACCTTTAAGATAAGAGATTGTTGACCCTGAATTTTGTTCTGCAACAGCGGGTCCAAGAACAAGTCCTGCGTTAATAGATACCATTTTGAGCCTACGGTCCATTGCTAGAGCCCACGCAGCTTGTTCAGAGAGTGTCTTTGCTAGAGGGTACCACAACTTGGAGAAGATAAAAAGAGAGTCGTTATATAATATTGCCTTGTAATGAAAAAAGCTTGATTTTCAATCAAATTGATCGATGAAGAGGCTTTGAAATTCCCAACCTTCATTTTCCTGCAAAATTCTTTATCACTCCAACACCTTTCATCCACATCCTTCTCGGAGAGGATATTCTCCCTCCACACAGCAGCAGTTAAGGAGGAGGTAAAAACAGTCTTATGAACAGTATCAGTCCGAGCACAAGCCTCCACAACATTAATTGTCCCTCTCACCTCCAATTCCACCATTTTTTCCTGCACAAATTCCAGATTAGTCCTTTGTTTTATCTTATTTCTATATTGATTTTTCTCTGGGGACTTACATCATACACGTGAGGGGTGTCCATACAGCAGAACAAACCAGAGCACCCTTTCAATGCAATAAGAATGCTATGGTAATCCATGATATCCACAGGAAAAACCACCAGCCCATTCTCCACTTTACCCATCTCTCTAATAGCCTTCTCAATCTCTGGGTTTCCTGCAGAAGATTAGACCCACAGTTTCAAATGCCAAGAACAGAGAATAAGAAAGTGAAAAAGAACAACAGAGGATAAACGACTTGCCAGTCTTCCGGACGGCTGCATGGACTGGGTATCCTCTGTTAAGCAATCCTTTGGTGATCCAAAAGCCCACGTAAGATGAAGCGTCGAGAACGCAAAGAGTAAGCTTCCTATGTTCCATTTTTGTTGGTGTCTCTGTGTTCGTGTACTCCTCTGTGTTGGTGTGGTATGGGGCTGATTTTATAGCGATGGAGGAAGGCGAGTAAGGCAGGTGTTTGGCGAACTATTTCTGCAAATCTCTCGCATGAGATAGATGATGGTGAAACATGGAAAAATGAGAGAGATGCAATTTGTCTATTCCTCATACATGCTTTCAAGAAGGGGAAGTTTATAATTACGGATATTGGTGGAAAATGGGTTTTAATTCAGATTTATATATATATATATATATATATATATATAAGCATTTTATATATTTTTAAAAGTAATATATGTTCAAGATTAATTAAAAATAGTGTTGGTCAAGTGTAGGCCCTCTACAAAAACAAAAAGTAATATGGACGTTTCAAATTGTTCATTGAATGGAAAGAAAAGGCTAAATGAACGAAGGAATGAAGTAGAGTAGGGATGAAATTAAGCGAATGAAGAGAACACAGATGTAAAGTGGCGGTGCATGAAGGGAAGCTGGTAGAATTTAGGAGGAGATCCAAACAACAACAGCGTTGGACTTCGATCCATGCTTATCCCCAACAACAACGTTTTTCTGCCCACATATGGCAGTTTAACTAATTGAACACTCTGGAGCACGCACCATTTTTTTTTCATCTTATTCAAACCATTTATGCTACAATATATGTATATCAGGACGAATTAAGGGTGAAAAGAATGTGGCTAGCAGTTACTTATGGATAAGAAGCGATGGCTACAGAAATGAACCAAAAGAATGGAGATGGCGACGAAGGAAACGTCGTCAAGAATTAAATGATGGGGTGGCCTGAAAGTGCCAGTAAAAGAATGAAATGAACATCGACCAAAGTCAAGTGTACTTGGGCATCCACTGAGGCTACTCATTATTGTGTCTTAACTGTGGAAAATTCTTATAGGCAGCCTATCCAGCTATTGGTTTCTGAAAAGACCTGAGGGGACCTGCATTAAGCCATACATTTGTAATTATGTTAGGTTTGAAATTCAACTATGGAGATGAATATATATCAAAGCAGGACGGCAGATAGAATCGCAATCAATACAATCTTGCCTCCCTCCAAAAAAGCTATATTATAATTTGACACCTATGTATGTTTGTATGTATTTTGTTGGCTAATTTCCTTTCGGCCTAAACGTTTTCTCGATCTCACTACATAGATTTCATTTTTTCCCTACCAATATTATACTTCATGGATTGGAAAGTGAAATGGTACACATTTTTCAAGGAAAGATCTACTTACCTTGACATGATGTGGCATGATCTTGATATCAAAGGGTACGTGAAGCCATGCCTCAGGTGGATGGTATAAAAAATTTTCTGCCTTGCTAGTATAAACATCTGCATATTGATGTATGTGATATGCGAAGGCAGATTCTTGACCCGTATCCGTGAGAAAGGTCGCACCAAATGAACTATTAAACATTTTCTTCATTGTATCTCGTGCATTCTGTCTCTCCTGACTCAGTTCTTTCAACAGAGATTTATACACATCACTTTTTCGGCCATTACCCACAATAGCATGCAATTTACCCAGAAGTTCTTGGATTATATGAAACTTTGCCTGACATATGGAATGAAGAAAATAGAAAAGGTTTTAAAACATGAACAAGACAAAAGATGATTAAAACGTCAATAACATCAATTCTTGGTTGGAATAAAAACGTCAAAGAATAGAATATATATCAAAGCTTAAGACAGTCATAAGACAGGACATGAATTCTTGACGCAACTGCTGAAACTGTAAAGAAAAATCTTAGCGTAACATGCACATGTACCACAGCCAAGAATTGATGAAATTGAAGGGCCTCAATTGAAGAATATACCTGTTCGAAACGGTAGGAATCCTCATTTTGTATGCGTATTTCATTCTGCGATATAAACAAAAGATCAAATTTCTATCCCTTCATTTGTTGTAAAAAAAGGGTCTAATAAGTCGAACAAAACAAAAGCTCAAGACCTATTAGATTTAATATAAAATTAGAGGTTGAGTTAGATGCCTTTTAAAATTTATGAACATATTGGACACAATCGGAAAATTTAATAACTAAACTTAAACTTAAAGTTATAATTTAACCAATAGAGTCAATCATAGAAACTAAAAGAAAATATCTTTCTAATACCACCATAATAATTAATTAAAAAAACAATGGCATAGATCAACTTGTTAACACATGCATCCTCGACCAAACAGTCAGGTGCTTGAAGCTTTGCCCTTTGTTTAACTCAAAAATAATTAAAAAAAAGAAAAGATATAAAACAAGTAATTAAAAAAAACATACTTCCAACTCATAAATGATTGCAGCAGTGCGCCAACCAGCTTTGGAAGGCCCCCTCAGATCACTAAAAAGGTGATCCCCAAAGTATATAACCTAGTTGAAAGAAACAGTCATGCTCAGACGCTCACAGACTACAGCATATGGAAAGCAATGTCCTCAAATAACAAAAGAACATTGGCATTGCTTTTCATCAAAGTACCTCAGGACCATTCCACTTGGAAATCTGAAGGAAAGACTTCAGGCAACCATGGTAATAAATTTTATTTGGAAGGAACGCATCCACCTTTGTAAAAGTCAAATTGTCTTTTTCTGTGTCATAACAACTAATGTTGAAGAGAATAAGTAGAAAGAAATAGTCAGTACCATATCTTCCATTTCTCTCTGGAAATATATGGAGGTAAAACTCGTATGTAGACTGAAGAAAATATAATAATAATTGGCTATGTTAGCACAAAGAGAAAATTCAGTAATAGTATGACACTGCAATCGTATATCAATAAGCTTAAAGTACTTCTTGTACTTGTGGAAGAGTAAATTTGATACATTTTTTTATCTTAGGTTCACTATTAATATGTTTCATCAATAATGTGACATAAACACACGAACATGGCAAGAATTATTCATTCAGTCTTGAAGACGTTTTACATTCAAGATAATATAGATTGGTTATCAAAATGAAATGTATTTCTGACTGGCACTTCATTTGTGCAGGAGACTTATGATAGAACAAATGTACTAACCGAAATGGATGCTCAGATGTGTAAAATTCTGGCTTATTTGCCTTAGCTATCACAACATCAAAGATTTCTCTCCAAGAATCCTTGTAACCCATAGAAGCCTGATAACACACCACAACATTTTAAGCTCAAGATGATTAAATCAAAGAAATATTATCATCTTTTCAAAACAGAAACTTCATTGAAATAGTAAAAGCTCAAGAAAATTCTCTAGACTAAATCCATTGAATGAAGGTTCTCCTCCCAAATTAAATGCAATAATCTAGAACCATTAGTAGCAATTAAGCCAATTGTCCAGACTATTTCAGAAGACTCCTCCCAAACGCATTTCCATCCTTAAAAACCCAGCCACTCCTGCCTAATCAAATTTTCCAAAAAATTGCTTTCGACCAAATCTTTAACCGACCATTAGATTTTCCTGTGAGTATATTGCCAGTTAGCTACTGAACTAATTATTCTGGCACCCTTGAATCAAAGACCCAACAAGTACTGAATAATTTGAGTACATTATACAAGTGTGAAATATCACGAATTTGGTCCAAATGGGCTTGTAGAAATAAGAGTATATTTTTTTCTAGATTAATCTTCAGAGAGAATTAAAGCTCCCGAATGTTTCATAACCCTTTGTTTTCTTACAATATTCGCAAATCCAAAAACAAATTTATGTGGCTTCCCTTACAATATCAGATTACCATCATATAGTTTAGGCTGTTTGGAAGTTGAGAAGTCCCTACATACAACGTAAGATACTCAAAAATTAGTTACCTCCAACATATAACGCATCCCACCATCCACAAAGTAAAATGGGGAGTTAGTCAGTAAAAAAAGTTTCTTCCCCTTCTCCTTCAGCATTGTGAGTAAGCGCAATAATCGCCCCTGTAAGGTTCAGTCATCACACTTAAGAACAAAGGACTCTTAGAAACAGTATAGGAGCATGCAATCAAAAACTGTGCTTGAAAACATTTTCTTTTCAACTAGAATTGATTGAGAAGTCAAAATTAACAATGGGAATAAAACCTAGATCCAAAGCCAACCAGACTAACATTGTTGACTAGGTAGGCATGAGGGTCAGCTATTATTTCTTTATGGGCCAGGCCACTTCGATGAACATACTAAATTGCCCGGTTCACATCTTGATAGATGTAGCAAGCATCAAATTCAAGCTTCTCATCAACAAAATGTTGCACAACATCCGCAATAAGGCATGCCTATTAATCACAAGGAAAAAAAAATTATATAAAAATATGACTTGACAGGAGAAAAGAAATCTTGACGAAAAACTTAAAAGCTAAGGAAGACAAAACAAACTTATGTAAAATTGTCAAGTGATATGCAAAACTCTATAAGAAATTAGGAAGGAAAAAGTTAACACTTTGATACACTACAAACTCTTGAAGGGAATGGAAATAGAGGAAAAAAAGAAACAAACTAAATTAGGAGGACGTAGCTTTCCAATACAGATAACATCTTGCACATAGAAATCTACCAATGATTCCCTAAGCCAATATAGGCCTCAACTCTAAATCACAGATTGTAATTGGAACTCTAAGAATTTTTTGTTAAGGTAGAAATGTGGAGGAATGCGCAACCATTGATCCTACCAAACAATCCCCAGGAAGGTTGAAATAGTAAATATTTCATTCAATTCTCAGAGTCGATGTAAGTGTTTATGAAGCCCCATGGTGAAAACATTAAAATCAAAGCACGATAAACTTTTTTCAATAGCAAACCAACAGCTAACATTCATTACCCTTGTTTTCTTCACCAGTATATTTCCCACTTGTTCAGTTCATGAATGACATAACATAGAACTGGAGGGGGGGGGGGGGGGGGGGGNGGGGCGGGAGAAGCTGACAAACCTCACTGAAGCAAAAGAAATCCATCAGGCCAACAAGCCCACGAGCTTGGTCACGCCCAATATGTCGTGTGCCATATATCTCTTTGATTTCATTCGGGCTTAGCTGCATTGTGGGATTGAAAATAAAAAACTCAGTACAGAGAAAAATGACCAACTTTCATTGACAAAAAAATGATCGAATACAAGACATCCAAAAGGCCCATAAAAGGGAGCATCCATACATAAAGGGGCTCCAACTATTTCCTCTGGAACTTATTCTTTCATGTCGAGCTAGCGTCGTGCCAATCTCAGTTTATATAGTTATAAACTAAATAATTAAGCAT